CTGACCTACATGGCATCACTCCACACACATACAATCATGAGATGGTGGGGTCTGGGTCATGCATAGACGATACCCAGATCCCGTACACACATACACAGATGAAAGGTGGGAGGAGAGACGAAGGAGGTAGGAGGTAAATCACACCGATAGGTCACAAGATAGAGTCCGGTAGGTCTCCGAAATAGTAGTCCAGAATGTTATATAACAAGATCAAAATGTCGAGGACCAAAGGTCACCAATGTCGGAGATAACCGAGTCCAGATGTAACCGGTGTCCAACTGTGATGCAGCCGAGTATCAACCTCAACAATCTCCAAGTCTCCAATCAGGTAAGTACCACAGTYTCGTATCACCGAAATCCAACCCTGATCTCTGTCCAACTGGATAGTCTCCAATCTGAAGAAGAAGAAGAAGAAGAAGAAGAAGGAGAAGAAGAAGACGAAGAAGGAGAACAAGAGGAGAGAGAGAGAGAGAGGGGACTGGCGAGGGAGAGGAGGAGAGATCCTCTAAGCTCCCGGTACCTCAGGCGGTGAGAACCGCCGTGTAACTCAGTCGCCCGCTGCTGCTCCGCACGCTGCTGGGCTATGCTGCGCGATGCTGCGCTCCTGCTCCAGCCCCTGCGCTAAGTTTAGCGCATCAAAACAGCGCTCTGGCGCTGACCATACCGTACCGGTACAATGCCGGCAGGTCGATGCCTCTACTGAGGCAGGTACCGGTACTTATACCGGTAGGCCATGGTCTGGCCTCAACGCTGCGAGGCCAGGCCAGACCCTGGACCGTCCAGATGGACGGTTCAGCCTCAATCGGCGGGCGGCAGCTTCAAGAGCGCCGCCAGGCCCAAACAAAGTGTCGTTTGGGCCTACCCGCTGGGCTTAGTTAAAAAATCAGGCCTTTAGGGCCTGTAGTCCAAAGGTCGGGCCTTTAGGCCCTGGTGTGTTCCTCCGGCCCTAAGTCGGGTCCGGTAGGACCCGTGTGAATCGAAGATGTAACACCTGGTCTACTCTTCACTCATCATGCATGCACACTCCCTATCACACGAGGATCTACTCTGAATACTACTCACTGGTATCCCGTACTGACTATCCCTACTAACATTCTAACTAGCGCTGGTGCAGCTATGGCTGCCTTCCCTCAAGCCAACACTCTCTCTTCCTCCTCACGTAGCGCCACTCTTCAGCCTAGCACAGCTCACACACATCTAGCGCACAAGTGCCACGGCACTTCCACACTCTCATGCGAAGTGAGCATCTGCCAAATGGGAGGCTGGCCAGTCCTTTATAGCGCTGGACTGGTCTGGCGTGGCCTGCGTTCAGCCTCAAGTGTGCCTGGGACTCCTGCCCAGTGCCGATTGTTGTGAAGTGTGTGTCCCAGTATCTTTTCCCATGGTCGGCTGCTGCTCGGGCCATCGGGCCTGTCTTTTGGACTCCTCGTCTGAATCAGGACTGACTCATGGGATTATGACTGAACTGGGACTGTAGCCTTTGACTCATTGACGAACAGACATGACTTTTCATCGAGAAGACATGACCCTTTCTCGGTCTTAAAAACTGTGTCCAATACCTGTTCGTTCAGGACCTGTTTGTGACTGTTCAAAATGACCTTTCATTTCATTATGGATGTGACATTTGCCTCAGGAACTTTGTCTTTTGGGTTGCTTGCTCGTGAATTTAAGTTCTGGCCGACAGGGCCCCTCGCTGTTAGGGTATTCATCTGGGGTCTAATTCGTAAAGGCCCTTTTACTACAGGTAGGTCTCTCGGTTAGCCCTCAGCCAAACAAAATTGCAAATCTACCCTACCTATGGTACAGCCTCGACAGAGAGAGGCTACAGGCGACCGGAAAACAGCAAGTCATTGCACTACGGTCTACCCTACTGGGACAGCCTGGGACTGGGACACTTTGGGATTCTGGGACTGGGACTGGGATGTCTGCAGCGTGAATCCTTTCAGCTGTTTCCTGATAGGAAATCCATCGATCAAAGAGAGCTCGTTCCCGTGGCGTTTCACGTTTCCTTGCATCCTTTCTTCTGCAATGCCAAGGCATCTACCCAATGCATTATTTTCTTGCAGGGGCCTTCACTCCCTGCTGATCTCAGCTATTCGTGGGTTTTTGGGTCCCTTGCTGGTATTTGTTTGGTAATCCAGATAATTACAAGTATTTTTTTAGCAATTCATGATACACTCCATGCTGAATCAGCTTTCTATAGTGTAGAACATATTATGGGAGATGTTCAAGCAGACTGCCTACTTGGATATATGCACGCCACAGTGTGGAACAGTTACGGTCCCCAGCCAAGAAGCCAGCTTGGATTCTTAGCAGGGAGGTGACATTGTGTGATTGTCATGGCCATGGCACAAATAAAAACAGTGACTGAAATTGCAGCACCTGATACAGGTGAGTGTGACCAAGCAGGCATCTCATGCAGAAATGGAGACCAACAACACATCATAAAAGCCACATTCACTTCTTTGGAATACATGTCGGTCTCAATTTCTGCCTCCAC